GGCAGCGGCTCTCGTGGGAGCCCCTCTGCTCCAAAGAGGGGTGCTCTGGAGTCCCTCGACTTGCACTGGGGAACCGCCAAACTGAGGTCGTCGGTCGTGAGACAGCAGCAGCAGCAGCATCCTCTGCCCCTGAGCCCTGCCAACGTGGAGAGCCTGGCGTTGCTGCCGGCTGGCAGGGATGGCCATGGGGAGCTGCAGGCTGGGATGAATGGGGTGCTTCTTGCCTCCACCCATATATCCTTTTGGGGCAGCTGGAGAGGTCCCTGGGCTGGGGCGTGCTCCCCTTATCTTCTGGAGCCACAGCTTGGTACAGCCCTTGCTGGTCTCCCCAGGGCCAAGGTCCTAAAGGGGTCCTGAGCCATGGAGGGGCACTGCTGCTCCTCAGGGTTGGCTAGATGCTGTAGCGTAGCTGGGGGTAGAAGTCAGGAGATCCCAGGCCTGGGATGCCAGAGAGAAAAGCCAGTGGCTGCTTGTCCGGGGACAAACACCCCCCATGCAGGCCATGGGCAGGGGTTATCGCAGGAACCAGGTATGTGTGTGCCAGGGATGTGCCGAGCCGGTCAGGCTGCTGCATGCAGGATTTCCTTGACCCCATGGCAGATGCAGGAGGCACTGACTCCCGGCCACTTGAAGAAGGCCAAGCTGATGTTCTTCTTCACCCGCTACCCCAGCTCCACTCTGCTGAAAACCTACTTCCTTGACGTGCAGGTAAAACAGCAGCACCCAGCACAGGGCTCCTGTGCAGCATGGCACCCAGATCGCCTCGCCGGGGAAGAGCAGGGAAGGGGATGCTCTCGTGTCCCTCCTGCACCTCGCTGGCAGGAGCAGGGGGACAGAATCCTCTTTGGCACAAGCTGCCCTGGAGTGGATACTTGGGGTCACAGCAGACCTGGGCTGCCAGGTTTTGCTCTGTGTGATGGAGGCATTGCGATAAAGACACATTGTGAACGTGCCTCTCCACTGCAGGGCTGGTGGGATCCGAATCTCAGTGGGGAGAGGCACCATGGACACCCCCATGTCACAGCCCTGGCTGGTGCTTTTGCACCCCCAGGACAGGGCTGGGTGTGGGGCCAGTGGACGTGGCTGGGCTTGTGGGTGCCCATGGGTCAGGAGGCTCCAGTAACGCCCGTCCTCTGGCTCTTTCCCCTGCAGTTCAGCCGCTGCATCACCTCCCAGCTCATCAAGTGGTTCAGCAACTTCCGCGAGTTTTACTACATCCAGGTGGAGAAGTTTGCCCGGCAGGCCCTCCTGGAGGGCGTCACGGATGCCGGCACCCTCCGGGTCTCCCGGGACTCAGAGCTCTTCTGTGCCCTCAACACGCACTATAACAAGGGAAACAGCTTTGAGGTGAGGAGGGGGAGGTGGAGGCAGAGGCTGGCGGGGTTTGCAGGGGCGAAGGGGAGCTGGGGACCCAGTGGTGCTGGGGGCTGATGCCCGTCTCACTGCAGGTGCCGGGGCGGTTCCTGGAGGTGGCCAGCCTGACGCTGCGGGAGTTCTTCAGCGCCGTCAGGGCGGGCAAGGATGCTGACCCCTCCTGGAAGAAACCCATTTACAAAATCATTTCCAAACTGGACAGTGACATCCCAGAAGGGTTCAAAGCCACTGGCTGCTCCCAGGAACTGCTCCGCAGCTGAGTCTCCACGAAAGCAGCCCTGGGTCCTGTGTGCAGCCCCCATATGCTAGGCACCTCCTGGGCACTCTGCACAGCAGCCATTATTCTGACTGCTCTCTGTCTGGTAAGACAGCTCCTTGGGTGAGCTCTATTGCTTGCCTCAGGCGCTGGGATTTTATGCTGTGTTTTATTCCCCTGCTCAAAGCCGGCGAGGTCCTGCTGGAGATCCTTGGAGGGAAGGAATGGAGATGAAGTGATGAGGTTGGAGCCTGGGAAATCGCCCTGTCCCAGCTCTCCCCATGACCCTGGGCAAGCTTCCTCCCTTCTCTTTTCCAAGGGGCTGCAGATCGGGTCAAGCAGCCTCTGTTTGTAAAGCAGGCAGAGGTCCTGGCAGCTGGCAAAGTTTTCTTGGCGCAGCAGACCAGTGGATGTGCCCGGTCCACCCGCACGCCTCGGTTTCTGTCCAGATACAACACATCAGTGCCCAAAGAAAACAGCTGGAGAATTCCAGCATCTTGAATACCCCATGAGGATGGTTGACCCTGTCTGGGAGTTGTACAAACAGTGTTTGTCGTAGCCAGCACAAACAACTCCCCCCCCCCATCCCACTCCCCTGTGCTGCTTGGCAAAAGCCCTCCATGCAGCTGCGTGCCAGGGCCAAGCAGGCGAGTGTGTGCTGGTGGGAGCATCCTGGGAGTGACAGCTCATCAGCAGTGTCACCCCTCCTGATGCTGGAGGAGAGCAGAGGGTGCAGCCGGCACCATTCGGCCCTGCTACCATCCCCCGTGGGCCCAATGCCTGGGGGGAGAGCACCGTGTTAAACACCCACCCGCACCCCCTTACACTGCACTGCTGGCAAAACTGCCCTGAACACCTCAGCTCTGCAAAGAGGAGCACATTATCTGGGACCTGTCACTCCTGTGGGTTTTAACAGAAGTTATCCCTGCTGGTGAGGAGTTGGGCCCTGAGGTTTGCAGCCCCATTGCTATAGGGGTGTAAACCCAAGGAGGTTTCTTTTCCCTATGACCAGGAGTCAGTGACCACTTTTACACTCGACAGAGCGTGGTGAAGTGTTTTGCATTAAGGGCTCTCGTGTCCTGTCTGAGGTGGTGGTGGGGAGGGAAAGGCTGTGAAGTGGAGCAAGGTCCTGGGAAAGGCACGGGAGGAAGGCTCTGGGAGGGCAGCGGTGTCTTAACTATGGCTGAGCACTGACATCCCTGTGCAAAACACCTGGGGAGAAGAAGATTGGGAAGAGGTCAAGATGCTGTTGGATGTGCAGCAAGGTGCCAGCTGGGCACTAGAGCACAGCAAGCAACATGGGAGAGGAAAATCTCAACTCCAGCACCAGACCAGCACACAGGGTGATCCACAGGCATCTGCAGGGGTAAGGAAGCGTGTGACAACGCCAGCGCAGGATGGGGTCTCCGAAATAGGGGCGGTTTTACAGTGGTTCTCCCCGTGGTGACTGCAGCTGGCCAGATTTCCTGCTTGCTTATGTTCATTTCTTGAGGTTTGTGTATTTTACAACCCCAACGCCAAATTTCCTCAATCCATTTTTAAATAAACGCAGAGTTTGTTACCCCTTTACACTCCTAGAAGCCTATTTGATAACTTTTGAGCTAATGTGGTACCCTGGGGATGTCTTGTCTTTTGTTGAGAAAAGAGTAACAGCACGGCAAAAGGGCTTACTCCTCCTGCTGCATCCCTGCGGGGCCGAGCAGCCCCTACGAACACAGCTGCTGGTTTAAACCTGCACCCTCACCCCAGTGCCTCGGGGTTGGTCTGCTCCAAAGTGCAACTCGTCAGGAGGACCAGGAAGGAGGAGCTGGAGACAGAGGGAGACACATCCCAAATCTTATGTGTGCTGGACTCAAACATACAGCATCTGAGATGTGCTGTTGGTGGCACTGTGAAGGTGGGGACGGTGCCATTCCTGCCAGCAGTAACTGCCTCAGAGCTGAAGCAATGCATCAGGTAAGCAAAGCCAACGCTGCTGGATAAGGAAAAGATGACCTGGCTCAGGGAGGGGTTAGTAAATGCTTTTGGATGTAGCTAAATAATTAGGGGACATAAGAAACAGGTTTACTGAAGACATCCTGCTGGAGCAAAGCCCTTTTATAGACAGTCCCCAGGGGGCAGTTTCTTGGTTCCTCTGGTAACGTGCAAGTTTGTAGGTGTTAGCAAAGTAGCAGGTTGGGGGGCTGAAGGCAAGGCAGTGCCCCAAATCACAGAGTCACAGGGTGGCTGAGGTTGGAAGGGACCTCTGGGACTCATCTGGTCCAGCTCCCCTGCTTAGGCAGGGTCACTAAGAGCCGGTCCAGGTGGCTTCTGAGTACGTCCAAGGAGGGAGACTCCACAACCCCACTGTTAACGAAGATGATGAACAGGACTGGACCCATTGCATGGAGCAGAATCGCTGTTCCAGCATTGCCACGTAACTGCAAGGAAGCAGGAATTACAGAGCTGTGTTTTACATTGGCTTCCATGAAATGTGGGCATGCATGACCATGACAAACAGCACCCAACATCCGTTGTCCTTTGCCTGTGATGAGGCCTCTCCACTGGTATCCATGGGGTGAATTCTGCACAGGTTGATTTTCCATCCAATAGAAGGAAAAGAAAGCAGACCTAGAGACACTCTGAGAAGGACACGAGGCCACAGGACACCTGATTGCCTGGCATCTTCCCCAGCAGCTTCTCATCTCCCTGTCCACATTCAGCCAAGTATGACAGAGAGCACAGAGGCATCAAGGATGCAGAGGGAGGATCTACCCACCTTTTGGTCATCCCATGCTCCCTCTGAAAGCAGAGCTCCCATCTGGGAAGCCCGGGGTGCAGCTGCAGCCTCCTGGGGTGCTCATCTGCCCAAAGCTGGGGTGGGTTGCGCACTGCTAAAGTGGGGTGAGCCGAATCGCAGCCCCGTGCTCCTGCGAGAGCCTGGGGAAGGAGCAGCCACTGGCAGAGCAGGGACTCACGGTGCCTTCCCCCCATGTAGGCCACAGAAGCATGGATATAGAGAAGGCAGCGCAGCTGCTGGGACATGGGGAGAGCTGGGGTAAAGACTGAAGCATAAGGGAGACAGGGTGTGAATTCTTAGGAAATTAGAGTTACACTGTTTGTGCTGTGCAGGGTGTGGTGTGTTATTTAATTTACATTCTAGCAGTGCTCAAGATAGAGCAGGTAGTTTTCAAACAAAGACAAATGGGTGCCTGTCACTGCCTTCGGTGTCTATGATCATGACCCTTGTGCTGGGTGGGCTCTTGCTTTACCATTTCCTACTAATTACCCAAGGAAGCAATTAGAGGTAATGCACTCACCTACTGCAGGTTCAGTTTAATCTTAAAATAAATCAATCAATCCTTTCCTTCCCTCTATCCAAGTTCCTGGGGTGTATGCAAAAAGCACACAGACACCCATAGCTGTTTCCTCTGGGAATAAATCAATCCTTAAGGCGATCCTTTTCCATTTCCAATCCACAACCCATCCGCAGCAATGCACCCCCTCAGCAAAGATTGCTAAGCACTAAAAATTGCCGTTTCCTGCCTCCAGGCTGCTGCTGTCCTGCAGCACTCGAAAGAGGGAGATGTGAGCACATTGACTAAGCTGGCAAGGCCCAAAGAGCCCTTTAGTACTCATCTATGTTATTACTTACCATAAGAGTCCTCATTACTCATGTACAGCTAATTAAAGCTTGAGGAAGTTCCTAATGAATGTTCATCCTGTGTGCCAAAATAGCCCAGGGAAAAACTCTGACAAGCGATACATTTATATTTTTCCTTTACTCATGCCAATGACTGGGGCCTGTCAGCAGGGCCTGAACCAGGCCGAGAGGTTCCCAACTGCAGCAGATGTTCTCGAAAGGGACCTTCCCTCAAATACACATCTCAGATAGGGCAGCTCTCTCCATGTAAGTATCACATGCAGGATACAGTCCATATTTATATACTAGTTCCTTTTCAGCTAACTGTAGATGCTACCGAGTGGCAGGTGCAGTCCCACGTCACGATCGCCCTTTTTTGGGTAACATACTAACATTACAAAGACCTAAACTCTGAGAAATTTCCTATTTTCTCCTTCTGAGATGACTTTGAGCATATCTACAGTAAGAAATCCCACCTGCCATCAGCCTCTACAGTACTTCCATAGGCTTCCCAAGTATAGTAATTTGGTTTTTAGCCCTGGGCTTTTGATTAGAAGTTCATAGGGTTATTTTCATTTTGTGTACTAGGGTCACACACCATTCTTGGTTTTGCTATTCCAATAAAATGGGCTCTGCAGACACTTTCTGTGGCTATTTCCCACTACCTACTAAGCAACTTTTAATGACATGGTATTAAGTCCAATTGGCCTGAGCCAAATGGGCGGTTTCCCTGCTGCTGTTTATTGCTCAGGGTTTTATTGTTTTCTCACTGTTGTTCTAATAGATTAACAAGAATTGTTCTTTAAAGTGCCAGCTTGTACACAACAGGATCAATCTTTTTGTCTTATTGCAATAATGGAAATTAAGCAGCTAAAAGCAAGTGGTGAAGTGAAAAGCCAGGAGTATGAAAAATACAAGATAGAGGAAAAAAACCTGAAACTTCAAGTATTTTACTGGATTTCCCAAAGCATGTATATGTCATCCATAGCTTTACACAAAGAACAAATTACAAAAAAATACTTTGTATCATTTTAAAAAAACCTAAGGTTAATACCTGACGACATGTATGTGTATATACATATCCATACATTTCTATATAAAACCTGTCCTCATTTGGCTGCCCGAGAGTGAGCACAGAACATTCAACAGCTTAAGTAATTGTTCACCATTTCTAATTTCCAGGTCTGTGAGTAAGGAACAGTGGAAATAAGGACAGCATTTGAAAACACCGTGAATTTGTGCTCAAGGGAAAAGCGAGGCCAGCCCTATGCATCTCCGCATCTACCGAGTTCCCATGGCAGGCAGTGCAACCCGTGTTCAAATAAAAACAATTACAAAGGCTGTTTTTACATAAAACACTTCAGGAATAGTCGCTACAGTTA